TCGAAGGCTTCTCAGAAGATATCTCTCTGCCTTGATCAATTAATTTATCGACCATTTCGAACGAGAAAGAGCCTCGACAACTTAGTGATAGCCTTATGATCTCTCTCTCTCTCTCTTTCTCTCTCTTTCTCTCTCTCTCTCTCTCTCTCTCTCTCTCTCTCTCTCTTTTTCTCTGTCTTTATTTATATTCATTCATTATCATTATTATACGATTTACCGAACAAAGAAAAGATTCCAATGTTTAGTTCCAACTTGACTCGATTCAGAATAAATCAGTTTTCATTGACTTATAAGCATAGTATAGTATATATATATATATAGGGTGGATCAAAAGTTTCTAGTTGATTTTAAAAATCAATTGATTCCTTTTCAATGAGACTCTTGTAAAGCTATTTTTTCCTTCTCTCCTTTTGTTTTTTTTTTGTTTTGTTTTCTGTTTTCTTCATATCGTAAATCTAGGAATTTACTTTGATAAAAGTCGGTACTTTCGATTTTTAAAATCATTCGAGAACTTTTGTCCTTACCTGTACATATGTAGTACTTGACTCCTATATTTTCTTTTCTATTATATTTTTTCTTTTGTTTATATTTTATTTTCCTTTATCTCTATTAGTTTCAAAGACAAATAATGTAAATACGACGAACGAATCAGTTTCCATTTCGGTAGATCGTTCATCGAGGATGATATTTGATGATACCATGTAATATGGATTTGTAACTGTTAAAGGAACTTTCAAAGGCTCATTTAACGATTCACCTTATAAGGGAGTACGGTTAAGGACGATCGAATTTATAGCGGATTCGAATCGATATTTATAAGATCTCGAAAGAGACTAAATCGTTGACCCACTTTGTAAGGTCAACAATTGCATAATATCTACTTATTCGTATGACTTATACAGCATATGTGTATGTATATACTCATACATACATATATATATATAGGTGTAATATATATATATATATGTATATAAATTTATATATGTGAAGTAAACGCGAAGGTTGTCCAGTTGTGTGATCTCCACCATATACGGTTGGTCTAAACGAGAGTGTCCTGTGTGTACGATTCAAAGGAATTACGTCTCCTTACGCGTAATACTACGCGACATAGAATTTAAATGCATGTTTGTCTTACTAAAAACGTCATAGTTCTAATTTTTCTCTCGTGATTTTTTCTTCTTCTGTTTTTTTTTTTTTTTTTTTTTTTTTTTTTTTTTTTTTTTTTTTTTTTTTTTTTTTTTATTATAACCATTTAATCCACCAACGCATGATTTCTTTCTCGTAGAAATTATTTGGAAACATTATACCATTGAGTAAATATTATCATAATTTTTTGGCAAGAAATTTTTAATGATACAATTGCATCGTTCGAATTTAAATATTTTAATGTAGAAAAATTATTGAAATGTAGAAAAAAAAATTTCGACGAATGTTCCTCATGAAAATATTGTTTTGTTAGAAATAATTACGATGTTGAATAGTTTGTAAATTCGTATACTATGTATTTACGTTCGATTTGTATATGGATGAACGACGATTAATTTTGAATGATAATTTTAAATGATTATTGGCGACAATGTTGGTTCCTATACTTGGATAACTTTTGACTAATCCCGCAAACGAGTCTCGACTGTCTCGTTTTAATATTTCTCTCACGATTCTTCGAGGAAAGTATATCTATATACATACATACATACATTCATACATACATACATACATACATACATACATACATACATACATACATACATACATACATACATACATACATACATACATACATACATATATATATATACATATGTAAGTAGATACATTGTTGTGTCGATTATGAGAGAAGAGGGAACAGAATCATCGCGTTGATGTCATCCGAATAAAAAACCATCCGAGATCTAGTCAGCCATTTTTAGATAGTAAACTCCACATACCTATATCACGATCGTCGTTAATTTAAAATATGAGAAATTTTTGTATATATGTAATTTATATTTTATAAAACTCGTTCTCGTTAGAAAAAGAACAAAAAATAAAAAAAAGGAAGAAAGAAATAAAAAGAAAAATGAAAAATGAAAAGTTAAGTTTCTTTTTCACTCTTCATGGGAATTTAACAAGAGTGATTTATAAGAATGCAAGGTCATAACTAGGGTTGGTTCGTACAATGTAGAGGTCAAGAGTCAACCTTCTTCATCCTTCTTTTTTAATTCCAGTTCCCAATGTGAAAGGATCGTCGTTTCGCAAAGAACCCAACTCATATAGGAATAATTTTTTTAAAAAGGAACTTTAATATATATCCGTATACAAGGTGGACCATAAAGTTCTTAGATGATTTTAAAAATTAAATATTCTTCTTTCGAGACCCTTTCTTCTCGAGACTTAATTCTTTTTCTTTCTTTCTTTCTTTTTTTTCGCTTAGATTGTAAAACTACAAAAAAACTTTTGGTTCATCCTATATTCCTCTAAAAAATGTAATTATTAAGTATATAGATCTATGATGCTCGATTAAGTAATGCAATAATCAAAATCAACTAAGAGACTTATATCGACCGACATGCGATATTATGACATAAGGAAGAAGTTATGCTTGGATGAGTCACGACATGGAGAAAGTTTTCACATAAGGTTAGTTTCATGTTGACTGCGTTTAGATTATCTCAAGGTACTCTTCACTTTTCTAAGTTTATTTTTAATTAAGAAGATTAACGTTCAATTCGACGAAAAATATAAATTCCAAAGTGTCAATCGCAGATTTATCGATAAATACAAATTTCCAATTACTAATTGAAATTCGAATCAAAAATTATGAATGTCCTTGTAAGTTCCCGAGACCTGACAATTAAATAAATCATATAAATCGAGAAAATCGTATGAACGTAATTATTCGAAAGAATTCCAAGAATCGTAATTGTGTTCTTTCATTTGCTAAAGAATTAAAAAAAGTAAAAAAAAAAAAAAAAAAAAAAAGAGAAAACAAAAAGATTTAAAAAAGAAATTCTTTATATATATATATAGATATATATATATATATATACATGCATAGCACATACACACACACAATATAGTACATTCGTCACTTTAAGAGACACAGAGGTGTAACTCTTATGAATAATTCATCTTGTTAATGAATTCTCGTTAAGATATATGGAATAAAATAAATATAACTTTCTAACGTAATTAATTATAGTATGTAGTTTTGTTCGTAGAGTAATCGATATTTAATACACGTATATAGGATATATGAGAGGAGAGGGAGAGAGAGAGAGAGAGAGAGAGAGAGAGAGAGAGAGAGAGAGAGAGAGAGAGAGAGAGAGAGAGAGAGAGAGAGAGAGAGAGAGAGAGATCTTTGAACTGGAAAATCAACGAGCAAGATAATAATTCGAGATAGTCATGCTTGACGACTCACTGCATATAAATAACTTTAATTATAGATTTAGAATCTGTTAACACCTGGATAAGAATATGTTAGACGATTGCTCAAGGAAAAATGAGGAAAAAAAAAAATGTTTATTTGAAATCTGATCGCGTGTCATTGATTAAGAATAAATTCGTGTATTCGATTAGGATTAAAAGAGAACGAAAAAAAAAAAGAATAAACAAATAAATAAATAAATAAATAATAATAAATAATTAAAAAGTAAAGAGCGATTTGAAATTGTCAGAAATCATACGGTTATAATCTTCGTCGTATGCTAGTAGAAGCAAGAGCAAGCAAGATTCACGATCTCGTGATTCCAAAGTATAAAGAACGAGTCGGAGAACCACATTCCAAAGACGATAAGCGTGTATTCTCTTGTAATGAGCATACTCGTGTCTAAGGGAATGATCGTTTCCTATGATATTCATATTGATCTAAATAAAATCAAGTTTTATTCATATTTTTTTCTTTATTCATTTAATATTATTATTATTTTTTTTTGTTTTTTTTTTTTATTATTATTATTATTATTATTATTATTATTATTATTCTCTTTCTTATTATTTTTTCTTTTCTTTTCCTTAATTTCAATCTTAATTCATCCTTTTTGGAATTTCTTCGATATAACGAAAATAAAAATATTATCAATTTACAAGTTTCATGATATTTTTTTCACTATACTTCTTTATGGGTCAAAGACTCTTATAATATGTACATATATACAATAGAACTATTTTCAACGTGTCAGAATGCTTATCTCGGATAGGAATTTAGTTTGAGTCATTCCGTTACTTTAGTCAGGAAGTTGAAATAATCGATATGACTCGCGATATGATGTAACCAACTTCATAAATTAAAATAAAATAAATTCATACGTTATAATGCGTTAATCGACAGAAAATTACAAATGATATGTAATAAATGATAAAAAAAAAAAAAAAAAAAAAAAAAAAAAAAAAGAAAGAGAAAAGTTTCCTTCGATTTGATCTTTTCTCTTAATTTGATTAAATTTAATTCGATGTAAAAAGGAAAAAGAATAATAATAATAATAATAATAATAATAATAATAATAATAATAATAATAATAACAATAATAATAGAATAAAAATTGTACGTTCTTTCACGCGATATCCCTTTTTGATTCAGAAATTGCAAAAAGATTTGTGGCTTTAGTTAGTAATACGTAAAACGTAAAACGATAAAATGTGAGTCATCGTTGCTTTGAAAGATATGTATTAGAGACGACGTATTCCCATATTCGGCGCTAGCCGAGCCATGATTATTAAATAGCAGCGGCAACAGCAACAGCAACAGCAACAGCAACAGCAACAGCTTCTCTCAGCGAGAGAAGAAAGGCAAAAGCTTTCGTGTGTGCCGGCAGTACCGTTCTTTCTTTCTACTCCCAAGCCGCAGGAATGTTCAACGATCGGGATTTAAAGCGAGAGGAATGAGTACGCAGAAGAAATTCCTTCCTTTGCCGTTTTAAAATCAACGACAAAGAAATAAGAGAGAAAAAGAAGGAAAAAAAAATCGATTACAAGATCTAAATAAGATTTTAAATTAATCCATCGAAAAGATTTACTTCTTTTTTCTCTTTTTTTTTTTTTTTTTTTTTTTTTTTTTAATAGAAACAGAATCAACCTTCGTATTCATGAATGAGAGGGATATCCAGAAAAATAAGCTTCCATTTTTGGACTTCCGGTGCGTGTTCTGAGACAACCCACACGACACTTTCATGATTCGATAAACAGACAGGCGTATGTATGTAAATACGTACGCTCTGTTGCGTATAAATATACGAACGATCTTTAGACTTTAATAAATGCTCGATGATCATTTTTACATACCTATTCTGAAATTGTAACAGATTTTTAGAGAATAAGAAGTTCGAAGTTTTATAAATTGTAAAAAAAAAAAAAAAAAAAAAGAAAAAAAAAGAAGAAAAAAAGAAAAAAGAAATATATTTTTAAAAAAATTGTTGTTATATTAACGCGAGAGATTGAGATGACTGAATAAATTTTTTTTTGTTTTGTTTCTTTATTCGTTCAAGGACAAAAGAAAGAAGAAGGAGGATAGAATCTTCAGTACCGTTGACCATAGGAAAGAAGAATTCGTAAGGCTCTCAACGAATGAGAATAAGAAGGAGGTGTAACCATGGCCGGCAAGTTTTGCGAGGGACGCTCCCTTCTTCGGCAACTAGGTCTCATTTTAATTCCCCTTCGAAAGAGACGATCGGCAAGCAGCTGTCGCCGTTTGTGTGGCACGTATACCATATTCTAGAATATCTACTAATACTAATACTAATACTAGTCTTATAGAGTCAACGAAAACGACTATGATTCTTCTTTTGGTAAACTCTCTCTCTCTCTCTCTCTCTCTCTCTCTCTCTCTCTCTCTCTCTCTCTCTCTCTCTCTCTCTCTCTCTCTCTCTCTCTCTCTCTCTCTCTCTCTCACTCTCTCTCACTCTCTCTCTCTCTCTCTCTCTCTCTCTCTCTCTCTCTGCCATTTGAAAAGCTAACTCGTCGTGAAGTTTCAAATTTACCGCTTCCTCGTTTTCAACAAGTATTGAATATATTGATTTTAACCCGTTATATCTCTAATATTATCGATTGGAAACAAAGAGACAATTGAGAATATTTTTTTGTTTTTTTTTTTTTTCTAATTTTTTTTTCTTTTTATTTTAAAGAAAAGAATCATCTATCAGTCTAATTTTGTATGAACGTCGAAAGAGTTTACCTTTTTAAAAAAAAATTTATTCGGACTGGCAAGCAACGTAACGAAAGAAAAAAAAAACCCTGACAAACGAAATTTAAGATAAGCGAATACGATTCACAAAGTGGTTGTAGATAACGCCGTTTACGAGAAGTTTTTTAATGTGAAGGTGTGCGAGAGCCGCGCCCGCACGAGCATATTCGGTGAGTAGGTCACGAATCGACATCTTGCTGGGATGATAGAGAGGGTGGTAATGTGTGATATAGGTATGACTGAGTCAAGGGGTTGAAAATCGGCTTGTCTAGGAAAGATAGAATTGTGAAAATGGTCGAAAGGTAGTTGTGGGTGGATCAGGCGTTACCTTTCTCTGCGCTTCCGCAGCAAAACCGGATTTGGTAGCCCTGTGACTGGCCATGATCCTTCGAGTCGAGGTCGTTCACCGACGTGGAGGACCAACAAGAACGAGAAACGTTGGAAATATTTTCCTTTCCTTTACTTTTAGCCTTTATTATTTCTCTTTTGTTTCTTCTATTTCCTTTCGTTTCGTTTCGTTTTTTCTTTTTTTCTTTTCTTTTTTTTGTGTCTACTACGAATCGTCGTAGTCGATTCCCGTAAAAAGATCGTTGAAAAGATCGACTATCCTTTTCTATCTCTCTTTTCTCTTTCTTTCTCACTCTTTCTCTTCGAAGACACGAGGAAGAATAAGCGAGCGTAAAAAACGAAGTTCACGATTCGACGGTCGCGGCACGACTGAAGCGACGCTGCCGAACCGAGACGGGTGCAGGACTCATGCTTCTCCGGCGCCGATTGGTCGCGACACGCGCGAGTATTGAGTTTTCGAGCAACACGTGATCTCCGTTCTCCAGTCTTGCTCCGGAGATGACGTCAGCAGCCGGCTGACGATGAATTCCTTAAAGCATGGATCGCGTATGAGAATTTTAGATTTTTGCGAGACTCGACTTTGACCTCTGAGAAAAGGAGAAGATTTTTTTTTTTTATTCAAAATCTTTGAACGACTTAAGGTATCTCCATTGTTTTTTGCTGTTATTAATTTCAACAAATCTTAAGAATGAATAACATATAGTATAATATAGTAGTATAAACGATTATTGTTTTTAGTTATTAGCACGTACTCAAAGCTAAGATTTTGAACGAATGAAGAAGAATAGGTAGTATGTTTGATTGAGAGTTGATGACGCCATCGTCTGTTGAATTCTTTGAATCAGACCACGTCTTGCCATCTCACTTTGAGAGCTTTCCTTCACGCCCACGACTTTTACTTTATTTCTACCATAGGTAGCTCTAACAAGTACGTGATACCAATCAAATATTCTATTATCGAAAATATCTTATTATTTTATATTTTGAAAATATTATTCAATATTTTATCATATTTTATGATATGATATTTCTTGATTGTAATATGTTGCATACTTAATTCTGTAAATTCATCAATAAATACGAAATGTACATACACGTAACCATACGCAAGATGATTCATGAATGATTAAGGTCGTATTTCGTTTAAAATTGCAATATCGTGAGTGGTATTAAATTATAGCACTTTTGATTGATTAAGCAAAAACGAATAAAGATAAAATGAAAGAAATCGACAAATATACATTTTTATAAATCTCTATATAAAATTGCATCATTTAGAATGATATACGATTTAGTTATTTTAACATTTGATTTACTAAAGTTGATTATAGACTCACCTAACGTTGAACACTCGATGTATATTAGAAATACTATGAAATTTTTCTTAAATTAAAGACTATACATGAAAGTAATAATATCTTGATATTTTCATAAAAATAATCTTCTGAAATATATTAATTTATAATTCATTTTGTGTGTTGGGTGTATTATTTCATATAATTTGATTAAAAAAGTAATAATTGGCAGAAAACGATAAAGTATCAAGTGTCAACAGTAAAGTGGATCCTCGTGATTTAATTGTCACGTATGAGAACAGCAAATTGAAAGTTACTTGCGAAACGTCAAAAAAGTAAGTCATGTCGATGTGTTGAAATACTTAAAAATATAATTTGTTATTTATTACCAACAATTTCTACAAAATCGATACAGCAAATATAATTTTTACCCAATAATTTGCTTAGTTCGGTAAAGCGAGAATATACGATTACACAAAGTAATATGTCAATTAAATGGTAATCTACTATATCGATTGTCGATAAAACAGGAATCTCTTGCAACAGAAGCTAATCAAAAATTTACCGACTAGTAATAAAATAAATACCTTTCATTAGCGACCTTTGGTAAAACAGCGATTTACTTTACCGAATGTTTTCCTGATTAATGAAAAAACTTTTCTAATATGTGCTTGACTGACAAGACACATATTTAAGATTATCTGCTCGTATTATATAAATAAGTATTGACTAGAATACTTACAAACCGGTTAATTTATCGAAAAAAGTATTTAACATCTTGAAGTTATTTTTAAGAAAAATTACTTCAATAAATGAGTAAAATATCTTTGTCTCTAAAAAAAAAAATGATTATTGTAAATATATTAAATAGATACAAGTAACATTAAACATCGGTATTGAAAATTTTTATAATTTTATAATAGTATTAATTGATAAAGTAATAAATTTTTTATTTTTACATATAATAATATTCAATAGAATCATTCTGTCTGTCAAAATTAAAATTTGAGAATTTTGATCCAAATGAAAATGTCTTGAATTTAAAAAAAAAAAAGAAAAAAAAAAAAAGAAAAGAAAAAAAATAGATTTCTTTTTGCATAGAGCAACTAATAAATCAAATAGTTGATACGTCCCTGAATGCTCGTCCCCTCGAAGGGAGGTGCGGCCTGCACCGGAAAAAGATTGGAGGGGCGTCTTTAGTAGGACGTTGCTTGTATTAATGTGCCTTTAGGCCGGACTATATACAGTCCTGTTCCACTGAAGCGGTAGCCGCGCGTAAAACGCTTGAGTTCGCGGTCGAGTTTGCTCGATTTATCGTCCAGATAAAGACGATAATCGTTAACGTTCGAGGAAGCTAAATGAAAAAGAAATAACATTAAAGAAATTTTACTTTCATGCGAGCGGTGCAACGTTTACCAAAGAAATTATCGTATTCGGTGGTGTCATTTATATTTTCACGATTATCAGTGACATTAACTTCCGGTTGTCGGTAAGAAAAAAAATGATCGTAGAGGCGCGAAAATCGAAGATCTCGATACACGTTGTCATCTGATTCTTAAAATTCCATCTATATGTGATGATAAGTTTATCGAGAAAGAAATCATGTTCGATCCAGTTTCCGATGAAGAGAAAAAACGATTCTTTAGACAAAGCTACGGTGCCCATTTACCAGGGTAAAGTATAAGTATATTGTTGATTTTCTTTACGATTTCCTTGATCTGATGAATATCATTAATTCGATATAATTATCATAAAAATAATTTAATTAAATTTTATTGAAAATTTATACATGTCGATTCGTTCCCATCCCCAACTATATTCATGAAAGAATTGTATAGAAAGAATCTAGCGTACTATCGATTGGTCTTCTTTCATTCACCCCAACGAGACTTCTAAGGTTTTTAAGGGTTACATTAAACGTTATCGATCCTCCAAGAACATTTTTTTAAGAATTACAAAAATCGAATATTATTCTACTGAAGAGAGAGAGAGAGAACGAGAGAGAGAGAGAGAGAGAGAGAGAGAGAAAACATGATGGTATCTCAATGACGATCGTTTAAACAAGTCGTAAATGGGTCTAATTAAATTTGCAAGTTGATTAACGCCAATAATAAATGTTCTCGGTTGGATATATGTACGTTGCATAACATATGCAAACAATACTGAGTACCGAAGTTACAATTCGACGTGTGCATCATCA